TGAGGTTTTATAGGATACCTTCCTCGCAACTTAGAAAGCTTCCAAGAGATAAACGGTGTTTATATGAATGTCAGAATTATGCCCGCGTTAGGATAACGGACGTTTTGATACTCTCTAACGTACAAAGACCTACTGCAATGAAAAAATCATGGGGATATTTATCAGTTGAATATGCTATACACATATGGAAACTTTCCGTTCAATCAACAACTTTCTATTGATGTTTGTTCGGATGTCATTGGTTCAGACTGGTCTTTTCTGAGGCAGCAGCTTTATAAGGTTCTACCGCCCAATGTGCAGTCACAAAAACGTGTAACTTCCAAATTTTGATGAAAAGGAAATCTTTACATGCCCACAAACCTTAAACCCATCACACATCCCGGTTCCTGCTTGTGTATTGAGCAATTTTGCTTCCAAATCGTGAAAATACTCTGCATCATTCTGCCTGTCCGATTCTTTAACTAATTATTTTATAGTGGCACGATACTTGTTATTTGGAAGGATATAATGATTACACTTGCAGCTTCTCAATCGATATGAAAGTTTGTTCAGTCTTCATTTTTGAAAATTATTGGGAAACTTCACTTTTCTAGCTCTTAAATGCTGATTTATACCCCAAACAATTCGCTCATAAATGCGCCAGAGGCACTTCAGTTGTTGCCACCCTACTGAACCATAAAACTGTTTTGCAGTCTAGATAAAAGTGCAAGGTTTGTCTGACATGCACCCCTGAACAACCACTCTGGTTACCATTTTGTTCCCCACGGCACTTTTGCTAAGCAACTGACAGTAGCCCTAGGTAACATGTCAGTTATCTTCCTGTTTTCGAGGAAGGAAGCATAGAACTCTTTTTGGCGGTAAGCAGTTTATTTTTTATCTGAAGATATTGAACTTCCTACAATTCTTTATTTTTTGTTTTTGCATAAATTACCATATTCGTTTAGGCCTAATTCCATTGAGGATGCCAACGTTATGTTGACTTCTGTATGAGCTGTTTCTGCATCAGATAGTTCCGAGACGAATACTCTTTTCTCTGAAGTCAACCGGTAGCGGTTCTGAAGTGGTCTTAAACTGAATCTCTCTATATGTCAGACTGGAAATTTTAACAACGGTTCTGTAGATTGATTCATTCTCATGATTCTTGTAATATTGACTGCAATGTTGCAGGGAATAAATCGAGAACCACGTATCTAAGAATCATTTTCTGTTCTTACTTTTGTTGGTCACCTGAACTTCTCGTTTAAATTTCTCTTTATAGAGAGTGATACTTTGTGGCTTAATTTAAACTATTGTCTAAGAATTTATTGATTGATGTATTCTAACAGCTTTTTTTCCCCTTGTTGTTCCTTTGACTTGTCAGAATGACAGTATAGTCCAGGCTCAGGGGATACTTCCTATCGGTGTCTGCTTTACATAGTATCGGCAAAAATGCCATAAGTTTAAGGACCACTGTCAAAAATATGAAGCCAAACAGCATGATATTTAGGACAGTGGAGATATTCCTAATGATCGCCAAAAACCTATTCATTCATCAGGTTCTCATATGTGAGTAACTGGTCGCACCTCATCACCCATGCTGAAGGCACCACCTCACATGTGTGCTATGAATTAAATGAACTCACCTTATATTGACAGTGGTTAGTTAATAATGTATTCGGTGACAGATTTTAGAACAGAATTTCATTGAATCTTGATTTCCTACATCAATTTTGCTAATGTGAATTAGAAATGTGTTAATTTACCTCATCTATCGCTTATTAGGTTATTTGCGAGGCTTTGTTTTATTATTTCAATAGTGGTGTACTTCAAGGTTTGGCAACAATTTGAGAACTCTGAAACATTGTGCGTTCACTATGGGCTTTAGGATTTTTATGTAGTATTTATGCCGTCTTTTAAGACGCTTTTATATTAAGCGTATTAATAGGTGTGATAGTAATGTCTTTTATTTGGCTGGAGTTATATTTTTTCGATAAAAGGTACTAATAATAGGGATTTTGATATATTATATTGGTTTGTATTACTTTATGTTTCCCTCCAACTTATTTAGTTTTGATAGACAAATACTGAGTACACGTTTCTGTTTATTCTTCCATAATCACAGCCTGAATTGCCTCAATGGTGACTCATGTGCATAAATGCACTGAATTATTTATATATATCTCGTAGCATGCTACGAGATATATATAAATAATTCAGTCTTTGGATTCTGAAATTCGAAATCACAGAAATAATTAGATTTATGTGTCAAAATTTTATGCCGTTCTGTTAAACATAATCTTATTATACATATACATATATATTATACATAAAAACCTAGGTTTTTTATCTAATTTATCGATTCTATAAACTCTTAGTCTCTTTCGGCCTATGAGTTGGTAGAAAATGCCTCGAATATATAAGTTATCTTCCTGTGTATTGGAAATATTTGGAAAATTATTTACGTACCACACAATGTAAATTTCATGTCCGACTTTAAAGCACAAACAAAATCTACTATGTCACACACGGAAGTCGAGTCAATTGAGTGCATTAGACAGTTTTTTTGAAAATATGTGTGAAGTTGAAACTTGTAAGAACCCAAGTTTCTAAAGTTATTTTTCCAAAAAGCAATCCTGTGCGAGCAATAACGTGATACAACAAATATCCAAATATTTCCATAGCCTGAAAAAATCTCATCAGGATATATCTACTGAAAATTCAAATCCCGGTCTTAATGTCAATTAAGTATGTTTCCCTATTTTTCAGGTTTCAACTATCATTTCAGTCTTCACTGAATAAAACTGAACTAGACAGAAAGAGTTAATCATTTGGGACAATGAACAGTTGGCTCCCTATGTATTTCCTTTCATATTTATTTTAAGTGTTTGTTAGTTTGCGTTGCTTTTAATAACAACATAAGGGTTTAGTGAGATTGAAATTTTTCATTAAATTAGTGGTAATATCATATGTCACTTACCAAAATCTCTATTTATTTCACTTCACTGGTACATATTTAAGAACTACAAAATGAGTGGAAATGCTGATCCAGTTTAATAGTGAACTGATCCTGAAAATGGGATTTTTCAAAATCTATTGTAAAAGAGCTTATTGTTCAAATTGATGAATAACTTTTCAAACTAATGTCTAGTAAAGTAAGGGTTTTGTTTTTCGTAGTGGTCCGGTAAATATGTAGAACGTGGTTTTTATAAACGAGAGCGCCTGCGAAGCTTCATGACTGCTTCAGAACACTAACTACTATGGAGTGAGTTTTGCACTGATTGTGATAGTTTTTGAGGCATTAATTAGTTTTATTTGATAATTTGTGTAGTAAAAATAAATCAAACGAGATAGTCGTCACTGCTTTTGCAGCAACTTACTCATAACAAATAGGAAATAAATAATAGGTAATGAAGGAGTTAGTTTTTCAGGGACCTGACGCCTCTGAATGTACTGTTGGTCTTCTCTTTGTTTTGTACGTAGACATTAAATGGCACAGTGCTTTTAAAATGGTATATAACCTGTGACTGAAATGCTGTGATCCTACTCACTTAACAATGGTCTTATATGAACGGATTTAAAATCATAGATAAGCTCTTCTCATGCATCCAAAATAAGGTATTTTTCTTGTGACTTAATAATCGAGGATATTTTAAAGTGGAAATATCATTTCACGGGTCTGATGCTTCACATTCTATTTGCGGTATAATTTCAGCTACTTTACGTGTTTAGAAATATTAAACTGTTACTTTACCAAGCCATTCTAGTCACTTACGTCTATACTAAAAAAGGCATATTCTTGATGGACGTCTGATTGACTTCCATAAGTATGTTACTCTGGAAGTCTGTGTATTGTTCATCACAGCTCAGTAGAAATGAGCCAAAAAACGTTACGATCTTTGACACTGAGTATTAGATAAAATGTTTAGGTGTTTTAGCATACACGTATCATCTATCCTCATAAAGAATGCTAAGTAGGGCAAAAGTCAAAACTCAGGCGGTTCAGAACAGCTAGGTTGAGTGTATTTAAAAGTTTCGACTCTGATTCTAGACTGTGTTCCATCAACACTAAGGGCTCTTAAGAGATCTAAATGAAACATTTTCACAGGAAAGCAGGATTCAAAAGTCTTTCAATAATTATGTAGACATGAAGTTATTGAAGCTACTTGAAAATTGAATCCCTTATTTTTTTAATAAGAAGTATATTGTACAAATAATTCATCTTTTCTGCGCAAATCGAAATTAGATACCGTCCTCTGGTTTCTAAATTATAGTTACCAGTTAGGTAGAATTTGTCACAATCATTTTCATAATAAATTAGTTCACTAATATTCCAAAACTTTCTGGATTAAGCAATGCATCTCTTGTTGTATATCAAAAACTATTTGTAGAATTTTTAAAGTACTTATTGCTATACATACAACTAGGCTGACCATTATTTTCGGAATTCACATAGTGTGTATTCATAAATTCAGCCCATAATTTTAAACACAGTTTATCAATGTCAATGGGATTCGGAGAATATGGTGAAATTAATGACCCTTGAAACAGTTGGTAAGCTTATTGTGCATATATTCGGAACTCAACTACAGGTGCCACAGGATGTAGTAATACTCTGCATTAGTACAAATTTTTTATTGCATAAGTTATGCTGATTTTGTTTGCATCTTTAGTATGGACTCCGTTTCTTTTGAAAATAACAATTGATTAAAAGAAATCTTAAATCGCTTGTCATAAATTTAAATGTGTTATCGTCATCGAAAAGTTTGTAAATATGGTTGATTCTCTGATTGCTGAAGTTTCGACAAATAACTTATTAGTGTTTGATATCTTTATTATACGAGGAGGGACTACAGAACATCACCACTTTGAACTCTAATGCCTATTTTCGTATATATACATATATATATATATAAGCAACTTATATGTTTTCATTTTTTCTTCTTTGAACTCAGTTACTGCTAAACTGCTTTCTTTAGCACTCGAAAATAAATGTAACTCTGAGTTGATAATAATTTCGAAAGATGAATAACTTTCTAGAGCATATACCTTCGAATCTAGTGAGTAATACGCATCTTGTTTCGCAAAATTTAACAGCAATTCGAAAGTCTAGAACACTGATGCCGAATGAAGATAAGGCATCATTTCTTTCGAACAAGCGATGCAGTAATAATAAACAAGACAAAAGAGGCAGACGCTTCGCCTCATTCATCGAGCACTTTAAAAAGCGATCCAAATCAGCAGATCAATCAAATAAACAATCCTTTCGTCAGTCAGCTAAATCAGGGGATAATTTAGTTGAGAATGAATCAAGCACATCAAACTGTCAACGTGTCATTACAAGCACTTTTATTGCCGATACAAATTTACATATTATTAATCATAAAAATCAGTTTAATAGCTGTCCAGTACGAAACCACATAAATTCTCCTGCTACTTATGATATTTATCCCAATACAGTTATGTCTACATCTGTATATGAATCAACAAGTTCTTCTAATACCCATCGAATGGAATTACAGTCGAATTGTAAACCTAGACCGGCATCTTTTCATCCTTCAAGTCAAATACTAACTCACCATAATCCACATCTTTATCAGAACAGTATTTTTTCGTCTTCTTTAAATAAAGAAGAAACAGTTTCTCCTTACACTTATTGTAATATTAATAATTTACACTATATGGAATCAAATCAACAGAATGAAATCCATAACACGATAATGTATGATTCTGTTTTTGATTATCCTCCTACTCTATCTCCATACCCTTGTCCAACATACATTCCTCCTTCAGATGATGTTACACCGACTAATGAAAATGTTAACCCTTATCCATTTAATTGTCGATCAAGAAATCGTCCAACATCTGTTGATTTTCATCGTATTCGTAAAATGCACACTAGTATGAAACAATTTTTTACATTTAATCATAATAATAGTAGAAAAGATGATTTATCTCAAAAGTCGACTAATAATAAGGTACAAGTGAAAGAAAATAATGTCCTAAACCCTTCATTTTTTGATAGCAGTTATAATAACAGTAATTTAAATTCTCCTGTTGTAAATACCAATAATTCATCCCATCGGATTTCATTAAATTGTTCGAATAATACAAATTTTAAAGGAACTATACTGCGCTCCTTCAGTTGTACTCCTAAATCAAATTACGAAAGCAAGAAAAAAGTTAAATCGCAAGCACTAAAATCACAAAATATTTCAAAAGATGTCACTACTACTTGTAACACTAATACTACTACTACTAGTAGTAGTGGTACAAGTAGTTGTGATTACAGAAGAAAAACACTGGACAGTGATCCTGGTTTGCATGAAACTGAAACACAAAGTCGATTGCTTGTTCATCCTTCTAAAGATAAGCCAGTTAATGGTTGTGAATCAACTTATTCAAGCATAGTGAGTAGAAATTCACTCAAAATAAACTCAAAATTTGACATGGTGAAATCCTCATCTGTTTGTCAAGTAAGTTATAAGAATATTATTTTGTGTGTTTCAGGGTTTTCTTATCATAAAACTAATTTTCATAATAATAAGTGATTTTGGTTAAAATTACAGCAAATGACTGATTAGTATCAAGCTGTTTTATTTACTAACTCACTTTTCATAAGCAAAATTACAAAAAGAGATGATTCACTCGCAAAATGACCAATGTGAGTAATGTATACATATATATATATATATGCTTTGTCATTGCCTTAGGCACCTCACTTTCAACTACTGATTCATTTCCCACCCACTTCAGCGTGGTAGCTGAGTAGCATCATTAGCCGTCACACAATACGTGAGGCTCAAAACCTGGTACATGAAAAATCTGTCCTGTGTAACTGAGTTGAAAAAACAACGACCAAGACTGTTGTTTGATATTAGACGTTTGTATTCTTTACCGGAAACTACTTGGCAATGGACAGCGCTAATGGTCTGTTAACACAGGTTTGTTCAACCTCTTATTCTACCATGGTCTTAATTCCTTCCCTACATTTCTTCTTCCTCTCTTAGTGTGCGTCGGTGGCACAGTGGTTAGGACGCTCACCGACCATGCACACGGTCCGGGGTGCGATCCCCGGCCGACGCACACATGATATCAATGGTTGGCCTGCTAAATTTGGGCTACGGATTTCATATGCTGAAAATTCCACACTTTTACCAAAATACTGTGTGGAATCAAGCTATAATAAAATAAAATAATTTTCATTCATACAAATCTCTTTTGTACATTTTCTGGTTATTTCCCCCCCCCCCCCACCTTCTTCACACTTATCAAGTGAACACAGACACCTTGATCCTAATGTAAAAACTGTTTTACCTTAACGAATTTCAAACGCTTAACTCTATTGTTTGTGTGATTTATTCTTATCTTCAGAAACATACTTCTGAGCAACTGTATCAATTGTGTTACATCACCTGTTACTCAATAATAGACTGCTATACGTCTTAGTAAATATAAGTACGATTGTACGGTCTTTGAAAATGATTTTGTCGATAAAGAAAGTGTTTTTCGTTGAATGGTATTTTTATTGGCTATATAGCTTAGGGGATGTTTTTCATTCTCCGAGAAATTCGTCTCGATCCCCTGACAAAAATTGACAGTGTCATATATTAGCATAATAGATAGATGATTAAATTTAAACCAGAGCAGAGATTTCTGAATGGTAATATGCTTACCAGAAAACCTGTCAGTGCAGATGCCAGTCTCTCGTTAAGGAGTAAATTGAGAATAACTAACTAAGAGTAAGTATTTTCAAGTGTTGAGTCGGAGGGATTTTATTGACTTCAAGACAGATTTCTTCTTTGATTAACATCAACTAGAGAGCTATTGAAAATAAGGAGACACATAACATTTGCTACGTCCCCTGGCTTAGGACTCCTCAGCAATGCGCACCAACGATCCCATTTGGGATTGAACTGAGGACTTGGAATTTACTATGGCAGTCAGCTGAACATTCAACTACATGAGTGGAATCAAATAGTCCGTGAGTTCTAACTTCGGGATACTCATCGATAGCCTTAGATAGCGGTAGTGCTATATCCCTGAGGAGACAGGAACTAGGATAGAAACAACTGTTAAGAGGTTTCTTCGTTTTTAGTGGTTAGTTACGAAATCTGCCTTAAAAGGAAGCAGTTCTTCATGAAACCTCGATTTTAAGGGAATCTATCTGATGTTGTTCTGTGACAATCTCCTTTGGTATCGACCAAAAGGACCTGTAAATAAATTGTCATATGGGAATGGCACATTTCAGAAAATCTCGATGCACACTGATGATGACGTATACTTTTGCACTATATCCAACTTGTACACTTGCTAAAGTTATTAGGAAAAGTGATAGTTAAACTATTCACACTTTCTTTATTTAGATGACTACGGTGATAGGCATAAATTTAGGATGGCTTATTAATATTATGTTGTGCCTTGACATCTTTATTAAGTCTGCAGCTTGTCTTATATGATTACCACCTTAGAGTACCACTGAATTTGAAATAAATACTGAGCGTCACTGTTATTATTGTAGTCTTATTAGTTTAGTATACACTTGGTTATATAATTAGAAATTCTTGTGTTTTCACTTTCCTCTTCGGTAATAATTATATGTCATAATTTAGAGAGTAAATTCAACAGATAGCAATTAAAAATTAACGTGTTTATGTATAAGAGTTAGTTAAAGTGAAAAATATACTCGTCTACCGAATACCTGCAATATTGCTTCCAAAAGTTTTACAAATAATTGGTCATTATTACTAAAAATTTATTCTCACTTTAACGTCCCTTTTTTTTAATGAAGGATTGCTTGGGGATCTCCAGAGGAAATGTTTTTCTACGTGAAAAAAAATATCTACAGGGATAATAATCTTTACCTTGTCTTTTTCAAGTTTCAACCTTCCATAGTGCTGTAGGTTCTCTATTTTTGGCATTAAGTATTGGAAGCATTAGATAGCAAACTAGCCTGATTGACGTAGACGAATGCAAATTTCTCCTTCCCACTTACACTAGAAGTAACGCTGCTATACCGTCTAAATTTTGGATTTTTAACTAGAAATTGTATACTGTAAAATGTTGACCCTTCACTCATGTTTGCCTGACTTTTATCTTTATTGAACATCGCTATCAGCTAAATACATCTTCTACAGGGAAATGATGAGTCATGCCTCACCCATTTACCCCCTGGATAACTGAAAAGAAGACTAAATCGTAGACTTCTCTAATCGAAATCTGAATTATGAGAATATATAGATTGATTGTCAGCTCAAATCTTACAATAATTTATAGAAATACAGCTTCTTAACCTCTTGAAACAAAGTGTTATACCTGTCGTTTTCGTAGGACAGATTTTATGACAATAACGAAGGCACCTGAAAACATCTTGAAGACGTTAGCTACTATGTAATGTCTTCGAAAACTAACGTGATCACTTGGTATACAAACACCTCTTTGAGTGTTATACTTCCACTTGAACTGACTGTCACAGCAAATAACTCAGCATGATGAGTTAGTGTGTTAGCTTATATGTTAATTTGCGTTAGAAGTCAGTCATCAGCAAGTTTTAAGCAGTCACTATTATTATTATTATTGTTCTCTTGGGATGCGGATAGAACACAGGAATCCATTTCATACTCTACTCTGCAGTCTTTTCTAGCTCCATGATTGTCCATAAGCGTTTACCTCCTCTTCGATCCTCGGATGCCCGCCCAACTCTTCGATTCCCATTCAGGCTTCACTCAAAGGTCTGACTCGTGTTGTCGATCAACGGTCTCGTCAGCAGGTTTCTGATATGTCTGCACTTTCTTCTGAGCAATGGGTTCTTGGTTGGTTCAATACCAGAGTTTCTTGTTGCCAGTCCTTTCCGGTGGGCCGTCTGATCTTCAATATCGATCCAGAGAAGGCAGCTGTTAGTAAAAGTCTGCATACTGTTGGAAATGCTTTACATGAGGCTCTAAGTCTCTGGACCACATAGAGGCACTAACTGACTTGACATTGGTGTTGAAAATCTGAATATTGTTCCCTAAGCTGATTGCAGCAGATTTCCACTGATTTCAAACTAATGAAGATCCGTCTTATATTTCTGATCTTGCCTTTGGCATCCTCGTCTCTGTCACCTGTAGTTGAGACGATACTACCTAGATAAGTTCATCTGAAATCACTGTTAGCAAGGAGTGTCTGCGCTTTTACGAAACTTATGTTTGTTGACTAAGGTCCGAGGATGTATTGATCAGAGTTGAAGTGACAGATTTCTACCAATAAGCTGTTACCATTTTTTATGTGATATTTTCGAACCAACTTAAACTTCAATATTTGAATACTTTGTTGTTTTTTTTTACTGTGAAATAAAAGCTCTCAAGTACTGAAGCTTTTGTGTTATTGACTAGAAATGAATTCTAAAATAACAGCTGTTATATGTTCAATTGTTGGTTATTCTTTTGACATTTTCATGAATTTGCTGCATAACACACTATTTTTCGTTGAAACTTTTAATTGTTAGTTTGCTGGACAAAGCTGTATTAATTTTTCTGAAACAATTTTTTCTTTTTGGTAGATAATTCAATTAATTTTCTTTCTGTAAGTGATTTTTGACTTTTTCCTGTTTTTTGTACTTTAAGGACTTCTTTTTTTTTCAAAACTGAAATTGAAACCCAGTAAAAGTTTGACGTTTTGAGCTAATTATTTAATGATTAATTCTATCACATTTTGTTTTATATAATTTAAAACTATGTATTAGTGTAATATTTGATATTAAAGGTCAAAGGTTAACCTTGTCAACCTACCTGGAATTTGTACTTTTTGGCAATCACCAGAAAAATTTGAATTTCCGTCATTGATGATATACGTCTGTTTCTCTCTTCCCCACTCTCGGAAGCGCTAAATTCTGTAGGCTAATCCGTGTTTGTAAGACGACTGACGTAATGTTTGTGTGCTGAGTGATAATCAAGTCTCCTTATGGTTACTGATAGGCCCTCTCAATGGATACCGATAAGAGTGAAATGTGGATTTATGACTTCTTGCCAATTGATTTTTAAAGTCTAACAAAGCATAACAATATTACTTAATTTATTGGTGATATTTCCAACAGTTGTATGACAACGCTGCATGCCAAGTAATCCACAACGGGAAGCTCACGGAATCCTTCGAAGTGAAGACAGGAGTAAGACAGGGTTGCCTACTATCGCCAATGATTTTCCTGATTGCAGTAGATTGGATAATGAGACAGACAGCGGGCAATGAGGAAACAGGCATAAAATGGACTCACACAAAGAACTTGGAGGATCTGGACTTCGCCGATGATATATGTCTGATTTCCCACAAACTGGAAGATATGCAAGTGAAAAGTAACAAGTTGGCAGAAGAAGCATCAAAGATAGGACTCCAGGTGAACATAGAGAAAACGGAGGTGATGAAGATTCCTGGCCAACACCAACAGCCACAGCAACAACAACAGACAGCAATCAGCATAAATGGAAGGAACCTGAAAGAA